CGCTTCCATGCCCGGCTGCCGCTCCCGCGGACGGCTGCTCCTGCCACGCAAGCGAGCGACTGGTCGCTGTCGTATCGTGGCGGAGGTGCAGCGGTACAATATCCCGAGGCTTGGACCCGACGGCCGGCAGAACTGGGGCCGCGGCTAGCGCTCAAGCTCCGCCCCAGGCTCCTAGCGCCCCTCCCCCCCAGCGCAAACCCCTCTTTTGCGCGGCGCTTCCGGCTGCGCCTAGCCAAATCCCAGGACTTGTGAGGGTCACGTGTCGCAGGACAGCCCAATCAGGTTGGTCCCCCTCTGGGTTCCTCTGCTGGCCGCTTGGCCTTTCGGGAAGGGTGGAGGACAGGAATGGAGGAGGGGGAGCGCGCTGCTGACGTAGGCTCCTGTCCCCCTCCACCCCCGCGCTTCGGTGGTGGGCGGTGATGGGGGTGAGTGGGTGAGGATGTCTTCTGGGGGCGCTGGGTAGGTGGGGCTGTTATGCTAATCAGTCAGGATTATCCGGGCCTTTCCACCCCAAATGTTATCCTGATTAAAAACTGGTTTGCATTCATTATCAAGCGTGATGTGGGAGAAAGAAGAGTCTATGGAATCAAAGAACCTGGGAGGCCAGCCCCTGTACTATCTTAGACCTCCGGTTCCTAATCTGTACATTGAGGTGATTGTAAAATTGCTTGTGAAATGTAAAACTTGACACAAATCGTTGTCTGGTTTACTTTGGATATATAAAAATATTGCTCTTTGAAGTCTATAGTAGATGCCATTCAGGCATCACGTTTTCTTTATAACCTTCCAGACTACCCCTGTGTTGTAGTGTTTTGTTTTCTCAATGGCTCTTACAGCTAGTTTTTGTCTCATTATTTCTCAAGTTGTCACTAGTGTTTGTACAAGGACTTCATTAAATAACCCTTAATGGAGATAGCTTTTCATCTTTCTCTAGTTTGCGTAATGAAAAATATGGCTGCTGTATTGGTTAGCTTTCCCTAGTTAAGCTGTGGTAACAGATGACCCCAAAATCCCAGTGGTTTACAGAAACAAAGGTTTATTTCTCATTAACGTAACATGTGGGCTGGGAGATGGCTGTGGCTCTGTGAGTCATGTGGCTTCTTCATTCTGGGATCCAAGAAAAGGACTTTCATGAGTAAATACACATTAATTTGTATTATGTCAATTGTTTAAAACTTTTAATATTTTGAAACTTTTCAGAACTTTTATCAATACTGTGTCCCTTAATAGGTCCTACTCAGAACCTGACTCATGGTAGGTATACTTAAACCCTGACAATTGATTTTTTTGTCTTCTTCTTTTGATAATGCAAGTGCCTAACTTAAGCTTTAATTGCCAAGGCATTATTTCAAAGAGGCATCCACTTCATAGACTGGCTATTTAGAATAAATACATTGCCAGACACACACACACACACACACACTGCCAGGCACATACACACACACTGCCAGGTGCGCACACACACACTGCCAGGCACATACACACACACTGCCAGGTGCGCACACACACACTGCCAGGCACATACACATACACACACACACACACACACACAGACACACTGCCAGGCACACACACACACACACACAGACACACTGCCAGACACATACACACACAAATGTAGATTAAAGAGCCAGGCCGCCTCTCCTAACTGAGGCTCCTTTGTTTTAGGAATCTTGGTTGAGTTCAATAAATGACCATTTGGACTACTTGGTTTTTTTCCTTTTCCAGTGCTTTAATTTCCGCTCTTTTGTTTTAAATCCACTGATAGTGAACTCTGAAACCCTCGGCTTCCCACCCTTGACCCCAATAAAGCAGACCCTAGGCCCATGCACATGCATGCTCACACTCTCTCTATTGCGACCTCACTGTGGGGCCCCAGTGAGGTCTTATAAATAATAAACCAGTGTCTTTTCAACATTTCTGTTGGGGTTGCCAAAGGAGGCTAAAAGTAGTAAGGGATTATAAATTTATTAGGTCATCTGGAGTCCAGATGGGCTGAACCTCAAAATGGCGCCAGCACCTAGGGATGGGGAGTCAGAGGTCTTAAAGGATTCTAGGTGGGCTTTTTTGGCAGGGAACTCTCTGGGTGGGTCTGGATCCTGGGAAAGTCCGGAAGGGAAAGATAATAGTTTTAGCAAGTGAAATGTGGTCTTAGCAGGTGGAATGTGGTCTAAGTGAAAAGGAATGTGGGTTGTGAAGTCAAAAGGTCAGTTCCTAGGGGAGGGGGTATCAATTCAGTTATTTGATCAGTCCTAACAGTTTCCTGATGGTTATTGCTGAGGTGTCTTGCAACCATAATAAGAACCATAAGAGCTGCCCTAGCTGGTTTGGCTCAGTGGCTAAAGCGTTGGCCTGAGGACTGGGGGGTCACGGGTTTGATTCTGGTCAAGGGCATATGCCCAGGTTGCAGGCATGATCCCCAGTAGGGGTCGTGCAGGAGGCAGCCAATGATTCTCTTTTATCATTAATGTTTCTATCTTCCTCTCTCTTCCTCTCTGAAATCAAGAAAATATATATATAAGCCTAAGCAACCATTATGACTGAACGACCGGAACAACCGGTTGACCGGTCTCTATGACATGCAGTCTGGGACCCCTCACTCCTTACTGCCCACCTG